GCGATCCTCTCGCTCGCAGCAACGGCAATTATCTGAATGTGGAAATAAACACAGCACTCCGTCGTCACACCCCTTCCTTGATCACCAACCCTCAAAAGCACCTCCTAGTGGGTATATCTCACTCTGTAGCAGAATTATGTCGTTATTAACCATCAATTCTAGAAGACGATCCATACACATACACCGGAGGAAGATGGCTGCATCGCGACAAACTCCAGCGAGACTGTCGCCGCATACAGTTCAACTTCCCTGCACTCTGTGACAGAGTTATTCATCTAAGTCCAGGTGCAACGAAGGTCGCCAAGTACGAAAAGAAAGATGGTGGGTTCAATAGAGTCTTTATCTTTACCATGGACACAGGCTCTCGTATCGTAGCAAGGCTGCCGACCGGTATTGCTGGCCCTCCAAGGTTGACAACCAACTCCGAAGTCGCGACAATGTCATATTGTGAGATTGGACCTGACCCTCCATCACACGATCCCACTTTTATATGACACTGATAACGTCAATGATGTAGTACGATCCAAGCTGTCACTTCCATTACCCAAAGTCCTAGATTGGAGTGACGATCCAGCTAATCCGATCGGCACTGAGTATATCGTTCAGGAGCATGTTGAAGGAGTGCAACTTCATCAGATCTGGCCTCACATGAACTCGGAGCAACACATGCTTTGCACCAAAGCCTTGTCGACGGCAATCAAGCAGATGGCGTCATTGGACTTCCCAGCTTATGGAAGTCTATACTTTGCTGATGCGCCTCTCGAAGCGCATTTGAAAATCCCCTTTGAACAAGGGTTCTGTATCGGACCGCAATGCAGTCCACTCTTTTGGAATAGAAGCCCAGGAGAGCTGGAGCTCTACGGAGGACCAAGTCCTAATTGCGGTCCTTGTTAGTCTCGTACCCTCATACACTACGCCCAATTTCTAACACAGCGTGTCAACTCTTAGGGCGTGACCTCACAAGTTATTGCACAGGTCTGATTGAGACCGGCTTTTCTCGACTACCAAAAGAAGGAAATGCCAAGCATCACCTCCCTCACCAAGGGTCGATTCAAGATCACGTTCAATTGCTCCGTACAAGCCAAAAAGTGATGCAGAGGCTTATCGAAGATAAGCGCATCAAGGATGCTGCTGCGCCAGCCCTAGTGCATCCTGACTTCCACAAGGGAAACATCTATGTCTCGGCAGAAGATCCGACTGTCGTCACTGGTATAATTGACTGGCAATCAACAAGCATCGAACCTTCTTTCATTTATGCCAACGAGACTCCCGACTTTGCCACTCCTCCTCAAGACATCGAAGGAGAAATATTCGGAAACAGTGAAGGCGAATCCACCTCACTCCAAACAGAGAAAGAGCAAAAAGACGCCTCGATCTGTTATCAGACATACGACGTATGCATGAAAGGTCTAACCCCCAAACTTCGACCCGCAAGACTCCTCGATCCAACCTTATTCCGACTCTTCCACTACACCCACACAACCTGGAGAGACAGCGCGGCTGCTATCCGTCAAGAACTGATTGAGCTATCGGATCGGTGGTCTGAGTTGGGATTGCATGGGACGTGCCCGTATTCTCTTACCGACGAAGAACGTAATAAGCATGCTAAGGACTATGAGGACTTTGAAGCGGTGCAGAGTCTCAAGCTGTGGCTCAAACACTCTTTAAATACGAATTCTGATGGCTGGGTTCCGAATGATGTTTGGAATGCGGCTAAGGATGCTCATCGGGCGGTTTATGATGAGTGGATTGAGACGGCGAGGGAGTTTGAGGACAAGGGGGAGCAGGGGATGACGGTGGAGAAGGCGGAGAGGTTGTGGCCGTTTGATGAGAGATAGTCTACTCTGTCTCATTGAACTTGTGTAATATAATCCTCTTCTACTGCGAAGGGTGTATGCGTCGAAAGTCTAAAGTGTGCACTCCAGCGGAAGACCAGCAAATACTATGAACGATGGCTAAGGTTGCTATGTAACAAGACGATAAAGTTATCTGCGAGCACTGAGTTCACTCTTCCATCCGCGCCAATATGGCCTTGCCCGCACGACTCTCATTAGCCCGACCCAACTCCCCACTAATCCACGAACCAATCTTGGCCATCTCCTCCAAATTGATACCGGTGTGCATGCCCAGACCATGAATGGTGTGTACAAGGTCCTCCGTCGAGACATTTCCCGTTGCACCCTTCGAGTAAGGACAACCACCAAGACCACCCACACTACTATCGAAGATGCGGATACCATGCTCCAATCCTACAATTGTGTTGACAAGCGCCTGTCCATACGTATCATGGAAGTGCAGCGCCAGATCATTGTTCGCAATTCCGGCCGCCTTCAGAGCCTGCAGGAGCTTCATAGTACGGGGTGCCGTGCCCATGCCCGTAGTATCAGCCACCGACACTTCGTCGGCTCCCATTTCAAGTAGTGTTGCCGTGATATCAGCTACCTTGGCTGGGGATACATCGGGACCCTCGTACGGACAGCCCAGAGTAACAGAAACATAGCCTCTCACACGGATGTTCTTTGTCTTTGCCAACGAGACAATCGGACGGGTGCGTTCTAGGGACTCTTCAATTGTACAGTTTATGTTGGCCTTGGAGAATGCCTCTGTTGCTGCTACGAACACGGATACCTCAGTTGTTGTCGGAGGTTTCGTAGCAGATCCTGTCGTGTCTGCCGGGACGCCCGTGGCATCCATAACTTTGATCAGGTTCTCTAGACCCCGCACATTTGGGACGAGGTAGTTGTAGGCAATGGCGTTCTGTGACTGTGGGGGAGTCTGGAGGAGGTGCTCGCAGATCTCTGCAGTGCTGGCCATCTATCATACATATGCATGTTAGTCTTGTAGTCCAAGTAGGAACGGCGTCGTTGCTACTCAATCCGGATGCGAGCTGTCAGTACGTACCTGAGGCACCCATTTCGCTGGGACAAAAGATCCCGCCTCAATTGTCGTTACACCCGTTTTAGCCAGCTTCTCAATAAGCTGGAGCTTTGTCTCAAGTGGGATCGACTTTTTCTCGTTCTGTAGACCATCTCGTGGCCCTACTTCAACGATGCGGACATGGTCCGTGGTTAACCGCGCCTCAGTCGCAAAGCGGCGTCGAGCTGGGGCCGTGCGAAGGGCAGAGAAGAGGCTCATTCGAGGTCGGAAGGTCATCATTTTGGCAATTGATATCAGCTGTGAGACATGTACAAGAATCTCCTAAGCACTAGGGAAGAATATTCAAACCACGCGACAGCTCCCTGGAAAAGAAGAGGAGAAGTGGTGATGGCAGGATGAACTGATCAGCTCGTCCTGCAGAATGCGGAGAACCGACCGAGGCCGAACGGCGTGACCCCACCTGACCCGCCCTGCTGACTCAGCCTAAAATATCCATCATCCCACTTTGGAGTCACTTTATCGCTGCTCCATAGCGCCCTCTATCACACCCATTTTACACCATGAACGGCATACCTGAAGACTCCGCGCCATCGAGCGCCCCATTGCGACAGCCCAAGAAGAGATTTGTTGGTCGCCGAACAGCAGACGCACAAGCACAGAAGGATGCACCCACCGCACAAAATGTCGAGACCACCAGTATACAAAAGGGTCAGTACCCCTCCATCAGCCAACACTACATGCGTTCACAACTTCACCACCAACTTCCCAACTAACTAACTAACACTATAATTAATATACAGCCGCCCCCCGCCGCACCCCTCGCACCCTAAACCAAGTCCCCCCGGAGATCCTCGAAGACCCCGAAATCCTCGCCGCCATCGAACTCCTCCCACGCAACTACTCCTTCGAGATCCCCAAAACAATCCACCGCATCCGCACCTCCGGCGCCAAACGCGTGGCTCTCCAATTCCCGGAAGGTCTTCTCATCTTCGCTACCACCATCTCCGACATCCTGACCCAATTCTGCCCGGGCATCGAAACCCTCATCATGGGCGACGTGACCTACGGCGCCTGCTGCATCGACGACTACACGGCGCGCGCACTCGGATGCGACCTACTCGTCCACTACGCCCACAGCTGCCTGATCCCAGTAGACGTAACCAAAATCAAAACCCTCTACATCTTCGTCGACATCAGCATCGACACCACCCACCTAATCGCCACCCTCGAACGCAACTTCCAACCAGGAAAAACCATCGCCACTGTCGGCACCATCCAATTCAACGCTACCCTCCACGGCCTGAAACCCGTTCTCGAGCGCGCAGGCTTCAAGGTCCTCATCCCGCAGATCATGCCTCTCTCCAAGGGAGAAATCCTAGGATGTACCTCCCCGACCCTCTCCGCTGACGAAGTCGATATCCTTCTCTACCTCGGCGACGGCCGCTTCCATCTCGAATCCGCGATGATCCATAACCCGGCTATTCCGGCGTATCGGTATGATCCGTATTCGAGGACGTTGTCCAGGGAGACGTATGTTCATGATGAGATGCACACGCTGCGCCGGGATGCGATTAATACGGCGAAGTCGGCGAAGAAGTGGGGAATTATTCTGGGGTCGTTGGGTCGGCAGGGGAATCCGAATACGATGGCGATGATTGAGAGGCATTTGAATGAGAGGGGCATTCCGTTTGTGAATCTCCTCTTGAGTGAGATTTTCCCGGGCAAGTTGGCGTCCATGGCGGATGTGGAGTGCTGGGTGCAGATTGCTTGTCCGCGGCTGAGTATTGATTGGGGGTATGCGTTTGCGCGGCCGTTGTTGACGCCGTATGAGGCGTTGATTGCGCTGGGGGTGAGGGAGGGGTGGGAGACGGAGAATAACGGAGTGTATCCGATGGACTTTTATGCGAAGGAGGGATTGGGGAGGACGAAGCCGAGTCAGGCGATTGCGGCGTGAGGTTTATGATGGATGTCAAGTGATGTTTTTGCATGATGCACATGAATGACTATAGATGTGTTTTACTGGTTATGTGGTTTAGGTTTGTCTGGGATACAAAAGCTCATGGTTATGAAATAAAATTACCATGTTCTCTTTGCGGAACATGTGGAAAGCATTCGTCTACTTTCCGAACATGTGGGTAATAATAATAATAATAATACATCAATCAAGTACGCTACAGTGCGGCATACATCGTTCATGATCCTTTGACCTCATCCGCACTATCCGTGTTGAGGTCACTGGCACTTCCTCGCCGCAGCGAGAGGATGCTCTTGCTGGCGAACTCGTCCGCCGTCCGCTCCGCCGCGCGCCATCGCGTAACGGCTTGCTCGACATCTTCGAACATTTCCAGCGTGTCCTTGATGATACCGCCCTCCTCTTGTTCGGGAACCTGCGTGCTCTCTCTTGACCCGCTATCGCTGATCATAGGGAAGGCAGGCCCAAAGCCACGTTGAGGGATAGGGTTAAACATCACGGCGTTGGCGAACATACGGATCAACTCCTTCTCCAGCTGCGCCGAATTCACAATACCCTTCGGGGGAATAATGTCCTCTGTCTTTTGCAACATAAGGACTGCATTCTTCGAAGGAGTCCCTGTACCCGGCGCCGGTGATTCCCCGTCGCCTGCCGGTGTGCTCGCGGCCTCTGTAGCTGCCGCCAGCGCCCTGCTACCCTGGTGAATCAGCGACTTGATGGTCTTGATATCTTGCGGCCGGTAGATAAGATCGCGGTATCCCGGTGCGTCACGTTCTGTCAGCGGCTTTGAAAAGGTGCCTGCAACCTTGTGCATGCTAAGCTCACTCATGATGGGAGCTCCGGTCCGGGGGAAGTTGCGCGCGCAGACTACATACGACGTCGACTGATTAGGATCAACGCGAGTGAGCTGGCTTAGCTCCGACTGAGTAGGTTCGGCCTCTAGGCTCTCACTCGGAGCACGCTTGCGCTTCGGCCGCCCCCTGCTCGGCCGACTGACCGAAAGACGTTCGGGCTCTGCCATTTCTGAGATACCAGCTGGAGTACTGGGTACTTCATGCTTGATTTTCGCCTGGGAGCCAGTCCCCGTATCCGCTGTGGACTCTTCGTCCCGCGACAACACAGACCTTCCTCGGCTTCGGGACGACGCTGTGCTTCTGTCACGGTCTTTACCGCTAGACAGCGTTCCCCTCTCACTCTTCCGTTTAGTCCCTCCCTTGCTCTCTGCATCAATCGACAGTGTCTGATCAGCGCCAGTTCCATTGCTTTTCGTCTCGGTCCTCCGCTTTCGACGGCGGGGCTCAGGCTCCTCTGGTGTCGGCTCACGAGAACCCGGCAAAGACGGCGCTTTCTCACTGATAGGACTGATCTCCTCAGGCCGTGGCCGTTCGGGCGAACGAGGAGAGTGGGGGATGCTCAGCCGTGGAGTCCGCTTCCATGGTGTGAGAGAGCCAGGTGTAAGAACGCCCGTGTCAATCGAAGGCCGGAGAGGCCGCGTGCTCGGTGGCCGCGAAAGGATGGAACCCTGCGCAGGTCCAACCGGGGTCTGGAACGCGGGTGGTGGAATGTTCTGGGCAGGTGTGTGGGCGGCCGCAGGCACAGGTCCTGGAGTTGACGGAGCAGGTGTTGGGCGTGGTCCTTGCGGTCCCTTCTTGTTTTCGAAGGTTGGGGTGGGTGGAGGGAAGGGAGACTGAACCGGTCGCCCAGAAACAGCGGCGTTCGTCGGCTCTGGTTTCGGCTTTGCGAATGCTGGGGGAGGTTGTGGCGTTTGTGGAGGTTTGTTTAGAGACCACTGCTGGAAACTAGCCTGGGGCGGAGGTCGCTGAGGCGCCGGGCTAGCAGCTGGAACAGACTGTCCTTCCTTGGCAGAGGGCTTGCTGGCCAGAACTGGCTGTTGCGGGGTGGAAGGGACTGGCACACTTGCTTTCTGTGGAGCTTGCGAAGGTGTAACAGCGGGAGGGCGTGCGACACCCGGGCTGGGAACTGAGGCATTGGGCGGTCTTGGCGACGGAGCCGGTGGCGCGGCCGCTGGTGCGTGGTTTACAGGGGCATTCTTGGGCACAATAGCTGGTTGTGATGGTGTCGGGAACGCCTTTCCATTCGGGGCTGGTGGCTGCTGAGGCGGCCGACCTGTCGCTACCTGAGGGTTGGGCTGAGGACGAGGTGCCGGTTGTAATGGCTGTTGAGGTTGTTGTTGCGGCAGTGGCTGAGGCTGAGGCTGTTGCTGGAGCTTTGCCTTGTTTGTCGGTGGCAGTTCGACGGGCTGTACCGACGGCGCGGCCAGAGGCTGGGGTTCCTGCGGTGGGCGCGCGACAGGTTGCACGGGCTGCTTGCTTGAATCCAGCTCCTTCCGCTGCGGTTCCAGTGGAGGCTGCTTAACATCAGCAGCTACCGACGGGGTCGCAACTGGCATAGCTTCATCGCGGGGTCGTTGAATTGGCTTCTGAACCTTCACATCCACATCCATCGGTTCTGGCGCGGGCTCCTGCTTCGCTGGCGCAATCGGTTGCGCTGGCGGAGGTCTTGCGGAGGTCTCCGAGAGCGCATCCCGGTCCTCCTCCTGTAGCTGATCGATCTCTTTCCTAATATCCCTATACCTCTGCTCTTCATTCTGAATCTCCCGCGTTACCAGCTCCTTGTATCTGGCATATAGGTGCGACACTAGCCTGGGCACTTTGCTGGCGTGGTTGTAACCTTTGTCCGCCAGTCCCTCCGCTCGAGGGCTGGATATCTTGCGCTTCTTGGGGTTATTGGGGGCCGGGCTCTCAGCATGATGACCGTTGGGTCCCGCGTTTGCTGAATCCCAGCCATCTCGCATCAGTGTCGCATAGAGATCCTCCAAGGCTTCGGGGCTGAGCCTTGCCGCATCGTAGGCGGCATTCTCTCGAACGAAGGGGTTGTTGCGGAGCACATCGGAGATGGAGACGAAGTTTGCGGGAGGGGATTCTAGGCCGGCGAGAGACTGGAAGAAGAGGAGGGATTCAAAAGGCGTGTAGACCGATAGAGGAGGCATCCCCCATTGCCCGTCGAATCGGCCACTGGGGGGGAAGTATTTAGGGATTGGGGCCACGGTGATAGGAGTAATCGCAGGATTGTCGGCCCGACGAGCTCAGTCCGAAAGGCGACAAAGTCCCTCGTCGTACTACTGGATAGAGTCGTGGGTAGCACCGAAGCAGGATGAGAGACGGATACCTGAGATTCCAGGCCGACAAGACGCGAACGTGAGCGAAGGTCGGGGTGGCGGTTCAGACCATCCGCGCAGAAAAATGAAGGGCGACCGCAAGGGAAAAATCGGAGGGAAGGTCAAAAAGGATGGAGAACGCGATAGAGTCGCGAAAGGGAGGCCGTGGGATGGGAAAAAAAGAAGCTAAATTTGAATTACGTACAGCGGTAATGGGATCGTGAATAAAGAGTGATGGAAAGGATAGGCGAAATGACGGGGACTGGGGATGGATGGCTGAAGGGGACGGACGGGGGGAGGGATAGGATGGGATGGGGATGGGATGGCATCACCTTTGCGGGCAATTCACCGGGAGGAAAGGACTCTGTTTCCTCCAGAATGGGAGTCCCTCCCCTTTCGTTTCTTCCCCCAAACGGGAGCTGGCTGCTCTTGGGTCACGTGGGGCACTGGAATGCCTTTCCGGGCACGCCGGACTTATTTTCCTGCTTCGGAGTCACTGGCGGCAGCTTTTCCGAGAGCACCCAGTAGTCCCAGCCTTCATCTCTCCTCACCTGCTCTTCCTTCCATCCAAGCCCAATCAGCGCATTTTCCATATTTTGGACTTGTCCCCTATTTTCATGGATCGTGTACCTTTTGCGCTTCATGACATATGTTCGATTTGCTCCGTTTCTCAAGAGCAGCCGAACCATAGACACAGACCGTTGCCGGACGGCTAACATCAGCGGGGCTTGTCTACCCACTGTCGCGCTACGCGGATGATATTCATTTACATCCGCTCCATACTGCAACAGTATCTCGGCAATCTCTTCTTGTCCAGCTATCACGGCCTTTTGCAATGGCGTCCTATGCCGGGACTCCCCATTTGGACTAACTCCAAGTTCCAGAAGCAGCTGCACCATCTGTGATATTCGCTGCCAGGCGCAGGGGCCTTCCATAGCGCTGAGCAGCAACAGTCTACCCTGTTCAGGTGTAAGAGGAGCGCTGAGACGAGCAAACAGCCATCGCACCGCTGCAAACTGTGTGAAGCAAACAGCCAGCCGCAACGGCCTCAGGAGATCATTCAATACCCGGGGATACCGCTCCACAAAGAACTCCATCAGCTCTACATCGCCCCTGCGCGCCAATTTCTCTAATGCTTGCCTGCATACATAAAATGGCTTAGTAGGGTCAGCGTGTTCCTCTTGGTGATGATGCTCAAGCCATAATCCCAGCGCCTCTTTGTTCCGAGATATCGCAGCCATGGCCAAAGCACTCATGGGGATGCTATAGATCAGGTTGTACCACATGGAACATCCATGCTCCACTATAGTTTTAGCGATCTCTCTGTTCCCTCTTTGAGCTGCGACACTTATCGGGATGACCCCAAATCGTAGACATGGCTGCTGTGGATCCAAACCGTTCCGCAGTGCTGTGCTCAGTTCCGCACAGTCCCCCCGTAAGATGGCCATACAGGCCAAGATAATCGGCATCGACTTTTCAATCGGCTCATTGAACCTGTCGTTCACTTTATCAATCCACCACTGACATACCAGGCTATGGAACATGTTTGATGGATCATTGTTCCCCGCTATCGCCACATCAATCAACCCCTCAGTCAATTTATCCTTGTCCTCCAACGCAGGAGCATCCCCCAACTGGTACTCTATCACCTCCTGCACGAAATACGTAAAAGCACACGGTCTGTGCGAATGCTCTCGTAACTTTCGCTGCAGGTAAAGCCGTTTCAGTCGATCAGGGAAAGTACCCCATGGTGATGAGTCCAGTTTCTCTTTAGTCAAGAAAGTAAATAACTCTTCCAGATCCTCGCCATTTATAAGATAGTCGACGATCTCTTCGTTAAATAAGCCTACAATTCTGTCAGTTTGAATGCTCAGAATTGGGTGGCGGTCACGCACCATTCACTTTTCTCGCACGCAACAACTCCGGCAGATACAGTTGAGGTAGGAGGTGGTGGATGATCTGGCGGAGTATTTCTGTGGGGAGGCATGTCTTTGTAGAAGGCATTCTTATCTCAAAGTAATGGAGACTTTTGTGGTTTCTGTTCGTTGTTTTCTGGTGTTGAGTTGGAGTACGGGCTGAGGTTCCCTGCGCAAGATGGAGAAGCTAGTACAGAGTAGATGTTAACGTTAACTATATCAGGAATCGGGCTGACATTGGGGCGGAAGGGTCCGTAGTAACTAATTGCTACTAGTAGTAGTCAGCCACAACAGTAAAGTGACCAGTTGGCTACTAGTCAGGGATAGAAGCGATTAATTGTCAACTCCTATTTGATGGCGTTGTGACATGTGAAAATGGCACTGTTCCAAATAAGGCTGACCATGTAGGAGACGTATAGCGACAGACCAGCTGAAGCTATACAATGACAACCAACAAACCATCCACCGACACATCTACAACAAAACTAAAAAGCTCTGAATACCTTTACTCCTAACAATCCTCTCTATATACCAATCACAACCACCCCACTCTCCTAACAACCCAACTCCCACCCCCGACCAACCCCGTCACGCCCGTAAAAACAATCAAACTGCCATACCCAGACCCAAACCCGAACCTCAACTCCCCAGCCCACGGCATCCCCTCCAACAACGCTTCACTCAACGGTCCGGAGACAATATTCCCAACGCCCCTACCAGCCGCCAAACAAGCAAACACCATACTCGACTCAGCGGCACCATCCTTCCTGACCACCTCCCTCATAATGCCCGGCCAAGTACTCGTATATGAGCCCGCAAAAAACCCATACACGATGGCAAAGACAAACAACGGGCCTAGCGAAACACTAAACCCCCAGATCAGAAACACTCCCACAGTCGAACCCACAGTCGAGACCAGAATACAGGTCGTTACGTCCCACCGGTCGATAATAGCCCCCATGACTACGCACCCTACCACGGACGCAACGTTAAATAATATCACTGTGAGGGCCTCCAAACTGCCGGAGGAGACGCCGATGGCTCTTGCATATGAGGGTAGATAGATAGACGGGAGGAAGTACCCCACTGCTTCTATCATGTTGAATAGCTCGAAGAGGAGGAATGTTCCTGATGTCCAGAGGAATCGGATCTCCTTGAGTCGTGGTCGCGGTGATTGTTGTTGCTGTTGTGCTGGGTCGGCACTATTCCGCAATGCAGGCGGCACTCTAGGCTTAACGAACCATACCAACGGGGCTGTTAGCACGAATAGCACGACTGCGAACCCGCGCAACGCTATCCGGAACCCGTATCGATCGAGAAGCGTCTCCATGACAATGGGGAGGATCGCGCCGCCTAGACCGGTGCCGGCCCACATGACGCCGAAGGCGAAGCCTCGGCGTTGGTCGAACCAGTCTTCCATTAAGAGGATGCAAGGTGAGTAGGCGATGCTCCCGCCGATGGCGTAGAAGATGCCTTGGGAGATGATCAGGTGGGTGGTGGTCGTGGAGAGGGAGGAGAGGCCCAGTGAGAGACACATTGTTAGGACGCCGAGGGCGCAGCCCAGACGTTGGTAGTGAGGGTAGGTGCGGTAGAGGGTGAAGATTATGGGGAGGTCGAGGTACATTATTCCCTGTTTTGGGGTACTTGGGTTAGTTTTGAGGGAGGAGAGTGATGGATAGGTTGACTTACCATTGCGCATGTACCGATGATGGCGATGTTGTTGGAGTTTTGGAACATGGGGAGTGTGCTGTAGTAGTCTTGGAAGACACCGTAGGTGAAGGCGAACCCCCAGACTAGGGCTTCCATGACGAAGCAGGCGGCGAGAAAGAACCAGGCATCTTTGCCGTGGTCGATGGGTGGGAGGGGGGCAGAAGACTGGTTTGTTGGATCATGGGGTTTTTCGTTAGGAATATCTTCCTGGTCTGATAGTCTGACCATGATGGATACTATGACAAAAAAGATAGTATGCAATTGAAAGTGAAGAAGAGCGATTTCCTATATCATAGTATGTTTAGACGGAATGCATAAATGCAGATAGTATGTAGTCTGGGTAACCGGATTGAACGAGTAATCTCTGTATAGTACTTCCTATCCCCTATCCTCAAAGATTGAAATCAACAGAAAAACCTATCTTATATGGATCAGGTACTGTGAACTGCGCTTGGGCCATGTCAGCGACGCCCTGTCATTGACATGCTTCCGTTCACAGCCCCCATTGGTGGAATAGATGCTAGCGTCTTCGGCATTTTATGCTTTTTGGGTAATATTGGCCTTACTATAACTCATAACTAGCGGAAGTATACTTGTGGATATAGAGAACCGGGAGTAGTACTCTGAAGTGGTTATTTCAACGTCAAGCTATGCGGCAAATGGAAAATGTCCTAGTTCTGCTTTACCTGAGATTGGGGATTTAACGCGAAGACTATCTTCGAGTATCAGTGTTCCATGATAGTGACGAGTCACATATCTTTTCATATTCAAGTGATTGACATAAATTGAGAAGGTCTAACAATTTTCGATATGATTGGTCATATAGCCTACTTTGCATTGAAGCCATCATACCTCCCATTTCAGGTAGGTTATCTTAAGACAAAATCCACACCACTATAAGTGCTCCTTGAACCACTGGACAGCCTGCAAGAAAGCATTCTCCTTAGCATACTGCACCGTGCGGTTGGCGGGGTCTCCACGGACAGCAAAGCCGTGCGCAACGCCGCTGTAGAGGTTGATCTGGTAAGGGAGACCCGAGTCCTTCAGGATCTCTTCGGATTCATGACGCTTCTCAGCGGGGAAGATTGCATCAGTCTCTGCAGCAGCAATAGCCAGAGGGCCCTTGATGGCCTTCAGCTCCTCCGACTCGACGAAGGAAGGGTGGGCGGTGTATCCAGCATCGATCTGGCCGGGGCGGAGATGGCGCACAACGTACTTGCCACCGAAGCAGTAACCCACGGCACCGATTTTCTGATAGATGTTAATCCCTTTTGTAGTCACTTCAGCCCGCTAGTGGGAGTCATACCTTGCATCCATACTTGGTCCTCATCTCCTTGATGCAGGCCTCGATGATAGGATCGACGACCTCGGGGGTATGGGGCTTCTTGTCCTTGTGGTATGCGCCACCCTTCCATGCCATGATATCGAAGCCATCAGGGCGGTTGAGCGGGATGGCGTCGTTGTCGAAGAGGTCAGGCATCATAACGAAGTAGCCATTAGCAGCAAACTGGTCGGCAATGAGCTGGGCGTTAATGAAGCGGTGGCCGATCACATCCGTGATGCTTCCTTTTGTTAGCTTGATCTTTTTGGGGCATTGCTAAAGGCAGGACATACACCAAGATACCATTCTCGGTGGACTTGTCAGCAGGAGAGCTGGTGTAGATCTCGAAATCATTGAGCTGCGAGAAGCTACCCTTGGCTTCACCTTCGTGCTTGACGCCTTGGTAACAGCAACTTCCAGCGGGGAGGGATGCCATGATCGCTTATCGACGATTTATGCTGTAGGCTGATTTGATCTTGGAATATTGAGCTGTGGAAAATCACAGTAACGCTGACCGAAGGGATGAGGGGAAGGGGACTAAATAGCGGGGCATGAGCTGCCACCTCCGACACACTCGGAGGTACTTATCCGTTATGTCCGAGATGATGTTAATTCCATGGTTAAGCTAGCTTCTCTCAGCCTAGATCACTGAGAAGGACTTATCCCAACGTAGACCAGCCACATCTACTGCGATTATATCGGCAAGCTGGAAGCGGAGCTGCTCACCGGCATGCCGTCCGTATCATACATTCCCGAGGCCTTGATGCGCAGCAACGTATACGACGCAGATAATCGAGAAACCATACGTTTTAAGCAAAAGTATACACTTCGATTATGGCTACAGTGAGAATCAAGCCTACCGTAAAATAACCATGTTCAAAGATGGAGCTCGGTCACGGCAAGCTCGGAGCTCAGGTGTGATCAATCCAGTCAAAAATACCAGGTACTCATATTGATACAGTATGAACGGAGAGTACAATAGCATGGCAGGCCGTCGGTATCATTAGATTTGCTTCACGATTAGCTATACATGATTGATGTTACCTTCCAACCGGACTTAGTTTGATGTTTTAGAGACCCTCTTTTGTTGCATCCTTCAGGATTTGTCGTCGGATCCGCGCAGCGTGCGGCATTTTTATAAGACTTACTCGTCACCTGATTCAGTAACCATGATGTTGGCCACATATTCAGCGGGTGTTCTCTGAATCAGGTCACCAAAGTTTTGCCAACTTCCAGATATGTAGCCGCTGCCCTGCTGGATTGGAGGTTCGGCTTCGTGCATGTCTTCGGGCCGAGTTTCTCTTCGTTTTCCTGTACCAAACAAGGGGAAAGGAGTCTATATTCCGAGCAAGGTCATTATGCGATAGTTTCTGGGTGCTCCGTAGTAAGTTTTGTAATAGCAGGCTGCCCATAGTCAGCCCGATGAACTTGGTGAGGAAGAATGTTGTGCAGTCCGAAAATAGTTATATGCAGGTACACACGGACGTCTTGCAGCACATCTGTGATATGTAAACCGATCGTCCCAGCTATAAATACTCTGGACCAGGCCTATAGACAGATCAAAGACAGATCAATGTAATATCCCAAACTGAGCATCGGTGCCTGAAACGCCAGATGCTACCAAACCCTTCCTGGAATGCAAAATAAGAGCTAGCTCATCCATACTTGCAGTTGAGCTGACTCGGACTCCGCGTACAAGCCGAATCCTATTCTATTTCTGGCAAGCAGAACCAAGCTGAGAGGGAAGAATAGGGATCACCGCATTAGTGGCCGCTCTCGTAAGTGACATGCATAATCGCGATGGGCTAAACGGTAAGGTTGCGATCTTCTGGAGCTTGCTTTGCTAGAATTTGACATGTAAATATCAATAGCTGGAGTGGTGTACCAAAATTGGTCTCTTTGGCAGTCTTTATTGGTCACTACCTATGCGAGTATCTCTAATGGGCACATCCAAGGAAAAAGCAACTCTTCCAAGGCCGATCACGATCAGGATGTGATTTAAAGGGCATGCTTAGAAAGACGCGGACGTTGATACTGACGGCCCATAAGCCCGTGTGAAAAGGCCCCATGAGGAAATAGTATAGTATGGCCACCGTAGTTGCAATGTTTCAGAAGATAAAATTAAAAACGGCGTCGTGCAACAAGATGTATAGATGGATGGCAACTGGGATCTGCAATAGGAAAGAAGCGAGTGGCCGGGTGGCAATAAAGAGGGGCGGGAGGGTGGCAGCAAGGCAGTCATGGTGAGTGGCCTCACAAAGACTCAAAACAGGGGCAGATCCGCTATCACGTGACAGTATAATTTCCCATTGGTTGCGGCTCCGTCATGGAAGGATGGGACGGGATTCAGGGGCACCTTCCAGGCAGAGTGGACGATGCAATTCCACTACCGCCCAACTAGTGAGCAGGATGGAGCTGCACTATTTACCTTCAAAGGCAATCATGGAGCACCCGAACCACCCATGGATGAGTTTCAACTTACCTAAATTGACTATTCTTTGACACAGACCTGACACCCAGCACCCTCTGTCTATCCTTCCATCACTCTCCTTCTTTCTTCGCCATCGCTTCCATCGCGTTTCTACGGCTGCTCCTTTACCTGCGACGAAATTAAAGCCGTGGACGGCCCTGCATCCCACCTCCATGTTTCCCCCCAGCGCTTGCCATCGTCATCCCCGCCGATCGTGCAGCCCCTGTCATTATCCATCCATCCCCATCGGACTCAATAACCCAAAAGTGGTCCCTCCCTACCTGCCCGGTCTCCAGTAGTGCGACGGCGTCCGCAAATTTGCCGATTTTCCCCTCCAGCCATCGCTCGAGTCCTCGCTGCCCCCTTTTATAGTTATTACTTAGATCCCGGCCGGTCCTGGTCGCCGTCATCAAAGCTTCTATATAATCAATTTCTTCGAATCTTCGGTGATTTTTCTTCCTCGCCTTGTCCACTCTAGAATACTCTGAGCGCAAGGTCCACCCCGTCCGTGCTATCATATCCACTTAATAACCCCCTGTTCCGTTCTTGACGCGCGCGCTTCTAAACTCCCTCCCACGTCTTGGACTTCATTTCACATACTCCTTTTTCCCCCCCTTCCTAACCTTCTCGCATTCATCTTACCCCCCTTTCGCTTCGATCCTCCATACCAGTGCTCCATAACCAACGCCCTTGACAACCACTAAACAAAATGTCGGACATCGATCAAGAATGGAAACCCAAGAACCGTCCACAGTCGTTCGTTCTCCTCTCTTGCGACCTTCTTCTCTCCCCAACGTTGGTGTTGACCAAGACGTGGCAGGACCATGGCACAAGCCTTCTCAACCGCGCTGGATAGCGCCTTTTCGCTTGATTCCGATGTCAATCACCTTTCACAGACCATCGATCAAAAGTAGGTTCCACTTGGGTTGTTGATGATTTGCGATCTTGTCTCGCTTCTAAGCTTGTGTCGATGCGGCGAAACTGACGAGCCTGTCAACCATAGGAGACACCAAATGATGATTCAGGAGCGAGAATTAGAACAGCTTCAGGCTAGGATCCGGGAAGCTGAGGAACGCCTCAAAGCCCGACAGTCTTTGGTCCTCGACGGCAACAACACAAGGTCTCCTTCGGCGCAACGAGGGAACCGGTTCTACCAGTCAGGTGAGAATTCCCAGCTGGACAATATCTGCCACGGTCGTCAGTGTTGCTGACAGCGCTTGGTTGCAGCATCCACCTCAGCATCGACATCCCCTACGGATTCCGCCGGCCAATACTCCAGCGGCGACGAACAACAGCGTGGTCAGGGTCGCAACTCATGACTGCCTTTGACGGGCCGGGGTCGGTTATTATCAGCATATAATTTGGGTCAAGGTTTGGGATGGGAGATTACGGATTCGACTTCACTGCTTTCATCTTTTATATATCCTCATTTGGCGGGCATGTTTGGAGAAATCGGTTCTGTTGGCTTGGACGCTCCGTCATTGCTTCCCTCCACCACGTCAACGCCGATCAAGGCTTGGAGAGGAAACAACGCCGGCGCGGCTCACTTGTCGCTCCCTCCCTTGATGTATTGGGCGGTGACCACATCCGCCTCTGTGCGGGCCATCCCAATCGTCGAAAGTTTCGGAGAGACAGTCGAGCTTGTCGTCCAGTCAAATTTGGCGTTAAATATTGTTTACACAGTCAATATGTTGGCATTTATTTGGTCTTCAAATTTCTGGCATTTGTGTCTCAATATAGCGAAAGCGAAAGACCGGCATTCATGTCGGCCACGTAATGCGGTTATATTAGGGTGTCATGTTTGAACCTCATTCTTTGCACACCTATATCAGACGGGTGAGGGGTGGTCAATAGATCAAAACCGATAGCGTGCCGAAATACACGCAGGTTTCCATGCACAGTGCAGCATATCTGGTGCCAATATAGGACAGCTGTATGCAATATAGAATCTGATATCAGTCAATGAAAGCCGATGCGGTCGCATCGCTGCAAGTTGAAAGCTTCCCACTGGCCTGATGCAGACCGCATCACGAATTGGGCCGACAACGTGTGGCTGCAAAGCGCACGTCATCTTGTCAATATTGTACTTGAGGCGAGCATGAAGGTGGGGTAGTTAACCCAGGCCACGTTAATGCCACTAGCGGAGGATTTTCTTGCCCTATCGCGGGCCATCCGCCAACAGCGTTTGCCCCTTCCCTTGGACTATTGAAGGAATTGTTCCTATTCGGACTGCAAACATCCTCTGCTACCAGCAATGCCGCCACTTGTACTTGTACCGATTTCTTCTCCTCGAGCGATACAAGAAAAGAGGTAAACATACAATGCACCTCCATCTGTTGTCGAGGAGCGTCCGGCTGTACCTTCACGCCTACAGGCCATCGTCTACATCACGTTTCTCTGTACGCAAGAATGAAGTCTGCAGGTTGTCCTCGCTGCTCGGACCTCCAATATGACGCGTCTACCTAAAGAAGAGGAGCGCGGTCGATTCAGCGAAGACTGTACGTCTCTGTCTCCCTATGGAAGCGGGGAGGGCCTAGTCTGCTTCCTCATTGTATAAACGTGACTAGTAGGTAAGTAGCTATGGGCATCAAATGCATGAGAGGATTACTTGGATGATCTACTGCGAACAGGGCTGCCAGCACGTCTTGGCGTGAGTGTCACCACATTGACATCTGCCTGTCCTGATATTAAGATTGTCAACAATCTTGACTTTAGTGAGGCGGGTGGGCTGCAGGGCATATTAATGGGTTTCATTATCAGCACCTGCAAAGCCAAAGTCCGGCGAAGCACGACATTTTCAATGGATGCTGGCCTGTCATCTGACCTGCTAGCCGAATATGGCGATGCCGGGCCTGCATGATGATACCAAACTCGTACTGTACAGTATAGTATGTATGGTATCCGTTGGGTTTGCAGGGCGGCCAGTATAGTGGCCTGAGTCTTGAGGTGGCAACGGAAAAGGGTATCTGAGCGCAGCAGCAGAAGAACTTGAGGCAGAAGAAAGAAAACATCAACAAGACAGGATGCTGTTTTCAATCATT